ATAGAACATCTGCAAAGGAGAGCGGAAGGTCCGTGATTCGATTCCCGATCCTGTCATAGCAATCTTTGTCACAAGAGGGTACTTGTTGTTGCCCTGCCTGGCGCTCGGCAGTAAGGCGATAAAGCAAAGACCGGTCAGTACACTGTCTGAGTGGGGAACGTTCACAAGTTAAACATGATTTTTCGTGGGTTATCACTTCAATACCAGAGTAGCACACACACACACACACACACACACACACACACACACACACACACACACACACACACACACACACACACACACACACGTGCATGCACGTCGCTATATAAGTGCAATAATCTTGAACGCGACGCTAAAAGCCATTTCACGTCACCTCAAAACCATCATGTGGTATTGCCAAATGGTTTCTGGAAGGAAATGTTATAACCGGTTCAACCTTAGACGACGAGATTAGTGCCACGTCTGTTATGTTCACATATATAATAAAATGCCTCAGTTTACAAATACCGCCGATAGAATAGGTCCCTTGTGAGGTATACCTATCGTTCGTGGCTACCACACGGATCGAATGGTCAGGCCTGGTGACTTTCATACCGCCGTCACAACTAGCGGCTTACAACAAACACATAGGCAAAACGTTACTATTTGTATATATTTAATCGTAAACACAGTGAACAGTTTTTATCCTGTTTTTCTATTAATTGCATTTTAAAAGCCCAAACATTTCAAACACAATACACATTAAGGCCAGCCCGGCTTTGGGGTAGTTGGGCATCACATCACTAACATGGTTGTTACATGGGAAATCCTCCCTTATGTTGTAAATGACATTTACGAGCTTCAGAAATATTAACCCGTATCTAAATAATGATGACTCTCTAAATACAATCCAATCTCGGCAATATCGGACCCTTCCATTTTATGAAGAGGGGGGTTAAGATTGGTATTTTCTGAATATTTTTACAATTCACGGCAATTATCTGTACCTTTTCTCACAATACAGATTGCCACATCTCGCCACTTTCGGATGCGATCGTTAGGCCATTGCATTTATCTGCCTTGCCCAGATACATGTAAGGGGAACAAGTCACTCCCCTCTAGAAAATAACGTCATCATTAAGATTTGCCCGTATGTTCAAATCGCCCGAAATGGCGTCATGATACAACAATCTTATAACATGAAATACTCTATTGTTCTCCAATGTTATTTGCCATCTTGTACATAGCAATCTCATACGACTTATTCAAAATACAGTTTTAACTTTGTCCACAACTGGAAAGGTGGTGGTGCCGAAGGGTCAGGGTGTTCGCTTGTCACAAACTAAGCCTGCGTTCGGATCACCATCACTATATATACATATATATATATATATATATATATATATATATATATATTACTTATAAAGCGGAAACAACCTTGCCTTTGAAAACTGAACATTTCAAAGATCGTCATACGACTCAAGGTTACTACATTCAATGCCTCAGTGAAGCTTTTAAAATGTTGTATGGTAGACATGTGGAGGACATTTCCAAATTTGACGCGTCAGTGACAAAGTTGATGTCTACTGCCATTCCCTATTTCGACCGTGTTTTTTTTTTCAGATGAACAATTGACTTTTGCATGGTTTTGTGACGTGTGGTGCAGGATACGCTTACCTCTTCGCGAACACCCGGTATCATCATTACACGACAGTAATCCATCAACACATGTCTATGATACAGACGGAATCGTACAATGGAGTCTGCTTTCAGCAGTGACCAATTGACTTGACTTTGCATGTGACGCGTGCCACCTTTGCACCTGGTATCGTAACTATTTGACAGTGATTAAAAAGCACATGCTCAAGATATGGTCGAAATCGGACAGTCGACACTGCTTTTAGCAGAGATTTCCTCTAAATATGGAAAGGGTTTTGTCGCTTTAACAATCGCCAAGGAAATCAGAAATGTTATTACTGTTTGTGGGATACGTACATGCTTAATCTTTTCATAATAACACAGATAACGGAGCAATAGACCTTTGGACAAATGTCTACTCTTTATAGATCACATTGTCTTGTGTGTCAATTTTATTGGTGCAAACCCGATATAAACTGACTCATCCAATCACATTGTTTGTGTATGAACAATTTCCAAATTGAATAGGTCAGCCGATTCAAGGTACCCGGCGGGGATTTCGGTCAATGGGCATTCGACATAGTCCAGGGCGGTGTACCGTCCATTCTGGTCATCTGTGTTGACTGACCCGAACACGTGAAGACATTACAATTGCAAAGAACCCGTGAGTGAGTGAGTGAGTGAGTGAGTAATATCACATTTTTGGAATAAAATTAAACACCATATTAAACACATCGTTATTTCATACATCAAGTCTTATCAAATATAACTGTTACAAGTTTATTGACCACCTGCAACATGGACACCTTACTGGGGATCACTGGGACAGGGTACCTCTGCTTTTCGCATGATTCCCCAGCAGGATTTAGATACAGGAGTAAGAATGAGCCAGCTTCTTGTGACAGATCATCAGTCGCCATTATAAACAGTTCATTGTATACTGCTGGTCAATATCGCTTTCCAAACTGACTCCCTTCTCTAGGATTGCCAGAAACTATTTTTCATTTTTAAAAAAAGTAAACAGAGCACGTAGCATTTTTAAAGAAGAAATACATTATCCTGATTGTGATTGATTTCACGTTACCATGGTAATCTTGCCATTTCTGGGATGTAAATACCATGTTGTAGTCACAATGACACCTACCATTCTATCCTTTCAAATCATTGAAGGCCAGTTTAATGAGCGAAAACATCCAATTGAAATGCCATTAAGAAGTTAAAAAATGGCGATGAGCGTTGTGGAACGTGAAAATACTTGTTAATGTTATTGTGTGACGGAAACGTCCTCAATGGCCTGTCAGTAAATGATACTTTTCTAATCAGACTTTATCTTGATTTTATAAACCTATTTGATAAACGCTTTTAAATTCGCATCAGCTTGAGTACAAATTCTAGATGTGTTTACACCATTGCATACGTGCACTTCTATTTCCACGTACATGTAAGCGTTGGTATTTTCACATCCCATTAGCGTTGTATGGGTCACATGTCATTGAAGGAACGATGTCGATAGTTTTAATTGTTTTGATACACTAAATCATTTTACAGTGTTTGAAGATGATACACAAACACAAACGATTTAGAATGGTATATGAGTAATTGATACTCCTGTATCCCATGACTATAGTCTGGCATAACTCTTATTTAACAAAACCCTTTGAAAAGTTCACTGTCTTCATCATGCGTTGTAGAGGTTAACAGGACTGGATACATATAGCATATCGTTTCCAAATTGTATAAAGCAGCACCCTGTTCCATATTCATTTGATATTCATTTGGGCAAGATTTATATCACTGTTCATTGCCCATACAATCCCCCATAGGTATCTTAATATGATGATTGTGTTTGTCGGGGAACAATCTCCTCCAGACATCAGCTCATTTTGTTAATACCCCTCCGTGTATCATATGGGAGAGACTATATATCATCTTTATTCAACTTTCAAAATCCTTGCTACATTTAAATTGTGAGAACAGAATTATTGTTAAATGATTTATGACAAAAATGTAGTCTTTGAAAGGCATTTAGAAGTGATACACATAGGGAAGAGAATTTATTGATGTCAGCTACTTTATAATGTGGAACAGGACGTTTCGGAGCATATGCTTACTCATTCATCAGGTGATTCATTCATTCATTCACCTGATGAAGGAGTAAGCATATACTCCGAAACGTCGTGTTCCTCATAATAAAGTTGACATTCATAAATTCCCTTCCTAACGAAAATGTACTTCGTTACTGATTCTGAAACTGTTCAAATGTCCATCATGAATTGGATTGTTTAAACTGTCGTTACAATACGTTGGAAACAATGGCCAACATACACATAAGCTTTAGAGTATTCAATAGATAAATAATTATCAGTTTGACTGGACAAACGATGTTCACATGTTGCATAAAGCCGCTATGTGATAATATTGATCAGTTGAGGCACTCACGCATATTGAATTACATCACTAGGATCTCATTCAGGACAATGGCTTTACCAGTCACAAAACCGCCACTGGAGTTTACTAAATATGTTTCCTATTTTTCGCAATCCCTCAAAGTTCAGGCAATGAGTCTGTGTCGATTATACTGGTGCAGTGGGAATAAAAATCAATGAGGTTATATGAGACAACCATGGGATAGTCACCCAGTGGTGTGCCTACATTACAGTGTTTATAGTATAAACACACAGTGTATAAAGAATGTGTGATATAGTGAAACAATTGTGCTCTTTGATGTGGCAAAATATTATGTCAATAACGCCCATGATTGCCTTTTTAACTACACAAAGCTTCACCTTTTGCACTGATGGCATTGTCATGGTTATTGTATGCTGTGGTAAATTGAAGCATTATATCAGCACAGGCGTAATTTTAACTGGTTACTGACATTTTAAAATGTCAAAGTTAATATTGGCTTATGACGATTATATTGGATTTCAATATATAAACAACACTAAAATGTAATTAACTCAATCTCTGTAAAAATTGGTCTTTATGATAACAAACCAAATAGTAGACTTCAAAAACAAAAAAAATGGGTTCATATTACATGAGGAAATATCTGCATAAATTAAGACCTAAAAGTATGGTACCAAAAATATATTACAGTAACATAGAAAGTATATTTATATAAATAGAACCTTCCTTAACATACAACATAAGCCTGATTCCAGAGGTGATATCATAAGACACGAATTAACGCCTTCACTCTGGCACGATATGCTATTTCAAGCTTTGCAGATCAAACAGAATGAATGACTTAACAGTTACAAAAACAATACTAAATTAGCCTGCGAAACATCGACATCATCAACTCTGTGGCGTATCATACTAAATCCTTCACTCTGACACGATCACCAAAGCCGAGGTGTGCAATAAAATCGCGGCTATATAAAACTAAAAGCACTCACCGAATTGTGGGGCTTTCTCTTCCACCATTCAAATGTATCATACTGGTAGCTTCCGTCTGATGATGAGCGCTTTTCTCGTCTATCCTTCGAGCTAATACTTGATTTAGGGGACACATCACGGCTTGATTCTGCTAATGGTCCTAACAAGTTTAATACATCGTCCTGGCGCAAAATACTATTGAGCTTTCTCCATGATTCAAAATGCCTCTGGTACACTTTACTTCTCAACTCCTCCTCAAGCCGTTTAAGTTCTGTGTAACCAAACCAGATTGAAATCCCAAACAGAGTTGTTAATATGAGAGTAAGTATATATAACAAACGAATATGAACAATAATGTTCGGCGGTTCCTTCAGAATCTTCTCTTTGACGATTGTCTCCGTCTTCGTGTGTGACATTTTGGACGATGGATAGATTATGTCCCTGTGTTTAATGGAAACTTGATATCAGGCGTTTCTTGTGATTAGTAGCTCCTGCTCAAACCTAATAAGGTGTCAAACATCTGTACAATCCACGATCTTCAATTTAAACACACCAAGACGATGTTGACGCTGTCAAGAAGGCTTTCAAATTTCAATTAAATATCAAGCCATCCTCACGGCGTTCAAATTTCAAGTGCTGAACGAGCAGTGACTGAGATCGACCTTATCGTTTAGCTGTCGGAAGGACTAAGGACGGAAAGGAAATAAAACTACTTGCAAATTTACCTGAATGTGTGATACCTGTCCGTGTGAAATCAGGTCTTGTAAAATGATTTCCATAGGCCTACTCAGATCCATTCAGAGTAAGCTGTCTATGAAACACTTCACCTCCACGTTAGAGACACCTCCGATCCACCCCCGCGCTTAACACACATTCACCCAAGATAATTATCAGTGGGTGAGTATTTGGTAAAAACGTAGACGTCTTCCTTAAGGACTGAAATAGGACTCAGGTTGTAGGAGAATGAGCATCCATGAAGGAATTCGCGTCACGTAGATCGTAACAACAGTTCCGCATAAGGCTTCTGTCACAATGTTACAGCTGTGCTCTGCCACATCACTGGTTGGTAGAGCGATGTTCCTCAAATCCTGATCAGCGGCTTTAATAACGATTCTACAACACAACACTGACACTGACTATCTGTCAACAGGCACTCATGGATGACGGAACGGATAAATTGACAATCAGTCCTAGGCGCGGTAGTCAAGACAGAGCTTTTATCTGCAGTAGGGTGCTAGTGGGCTCGCTGTTATGACGGGTTTGGATCTAGTGCATTGATCTTCGGAGACGCAATTTCATTACGCGGGGGCACTTAAGCCACCAGTCTTGCCGTGTGTCCTCAGAACCGCTAGACTAAGGAACGCTCAAATCGTGTGCATGATCCAAATAATCTTGAACATATGGGTTCAGCAGTGAAAGATAGCGTCTGTCTGTGTCAAAGATGAAGGTGCCTCTTCGACCCCCATCAATAATTTAATCCTCTACAATTTGTTGATAAAGAGAATCAATAAATCAGTTTAACCACAGAATCGCTTCCAACCCGTCCAACTTCAATGATGTGGAGACCCTGTAGGCACGACTGTATCATTAGCGGTACCTCACTAAACAGTAATTCCCGTCCTTGACACCGTCTTTAGACACGTCAAAGGTTGAAAATAGAACCCTTGCTTGAGAGTTAATATTTAATATCCCCAAATGTCATCTGGGACAAGAAATGAGCTTCCTCTATGCAAAATATGTCCGTTTGCCTTCCACAACTGTGTTTTCCCGTTTGTTGCAACAGCGCTGTGATTCAGATGATATATTTCCACTGACACCGCTATGACATCTTTAACGCAGAGGCCATGCTACACAACTGATAGAAGAGGCACCAAGACCCTGGCTCATAAGTATCTCAGACAAGGCTACACTCGACTCAGTATTGAAGTGCAATCAAATTCCTTTAAGCTAGTGTATCGAAATTCTAGAGAGCTCCTCACGATCGTACTGCTTAGCAATTTGATAAGGAGATAAAGACCCCCAACCTGTTTCCGCAACGTATCAATATTTCGTCTTCTCCGTCACTGCCTCAAATTAGACGAATCGGCAAATACCGCCAACTATCGAGCCCACCGTCGTACGAAGAACAACGTGGGTATGATTTTAATTCACACACACTAAGCGGGGTCCACCTTGTCAACTCTCTCTTGCTGACGCTCGCTTCCTGGATTATCTAATAAAATCATGCACAGTGGGTGTCGATGTTCAGCGACACGGAATAACACAATGTTTGATTGAAAGCTTGTAGCTGTGAATAGGGCTCCTGTGTTTCATATGAAGCGGGTCTCTATTTCCTTGTCCTACAGGAACATGAAACCAGTGTAGCAGGGATTGTGCTAGCTGATTTATTTCACATTCTCGCTTTCCGTTGTCGAGCCCATAAAACACGCTTCTGTAATTGGTAACATATCATAGCCAGGCTCTCCACTAAGGATAATATGTGAAAAACTATTTTGGCAAAAATCTATCTGTTAATGTAACGTGAATAATCCTATTGCTCTAATTGTGTTTATTACATATTAGATTTACATTACTGCGAGAAGAAAAAGTGACAAATGTCATCGCAAAGCGTGTTTCTATTGCCATGTTATGTGTTCTTGAGAAACATTCAAATATCGATCTTTCCTAATGTAATTTGTTCACTAATTCAGAAAACAGAATGAAGTGATATCCTGGATTTGTTCAGATGCCAATAACGAGTCGCCTCTCTCGTTAACGGTACTTGTAAAAATATTGATAATTGTATAACTATTCCCTAGTAATCTGCCTCTTAGCAACTCTGTGTCTATCTATTTACAGAGAATGTTCATCGATCGGTCTCGATCAGGCGGTGGACGCCACGTATACATAATGCATAAATAATGAATCGGAAATCTTATTGTTATCATATATTTCTCCATTTGCATGACAATTACATATGTATTCCTTCTATAAAGATAAACCTTGTTTTGTGAACGGATAAGCAAATATATTTGCAATGAATCATGATTAGCTTGAACCATGCAGATGTGTTCAAGAGCTCAAGACACCACGCAAAACAGTTTGTTTCTTCTATAAATCTTATTTTCTCTCGCAGGCGCAAAGAGGAAGACTTTCAATTCATCATATCTTAGGCACCTCATGCAACTTTCTTTTCAGCGCGAACCAAATCGTTATTGATCGCACAGGAAGAAATAAGTTCTGTCAGTACTAGTGACAATCAACCGCTCGCAAGCCCATTGTAGATTTTTTTCTTTTTTTGTATTAACGTAATGTCATAGGTTCCATTTAGGAATCTTTTTTTCTGCATGGTCCTGGTCGAATGTTGTCGCCAAGTGTTTAGTCCGTACGTCATCCCATCAGGAAGGCGAGAATCTGGAGACAAAAACCAGTATGTGTATCAGAACATCTTCGGCCTCTTTGTTGTTTTATTTTTTTATTTCTTTCAGGATTATTGATTTGAAAACATGTGCAAACTGATCCGCATCAGTTAATTAGACAAAAGGCTCCCCCATCTTTCCACCAACCAATAGCCTCCCCATTTCTCCACCAACCAAGAGGCTATCTCATCTCTCCACCAACCAAAAGGCTACCCAATCTCTCCACAAACCAACAGACAACTCCATCTCTCCACCAACCAATGGACTCCCCATTCCTCCATCAACCAAAAGGCTCCCAATCACTCCACCGACCAAGAGGCTACCCCATCTCTCCACCAACCAAGAGGTTATCCCATTTCTCCACCAACCAAAAGGCTATCCCATCTCTCCACCAATAAATGGGCTCCACATTTCTCCACCAACCAATAGGCTCCCCATCACTCCACCAACCAAGAAGCTACCCAATCTCTCCACCAACCCATAGGCAACTCCATCTCTACACCAACCAAGAGGCTACCCCATCTCTCCACCAACCAAGAGGCTATTCCATCTCTCCACCAATCAATGGGCTGCCCATTTCTCCACCAACCAAGAGGCTATCCCATTTCTCCACCAACCAAGAGGCTATCCAATTTCTCCACCAACCAATAGGCTCCCTATTTCTCCACCAGCCAAAAGGATATCCCATCTCTCCACCAATCATTGGGCTCCCCATTTCTCCACCAGCCAATAGGATCCCCATCTTTCCGCCAACCAAAAGGCTGTCCTATCTTTCCACAAACCAAGAGGCTACCCCATCTTTCCACCGACGAAGAGGCTATCCCATCTCTCCACCAACCAATAGGCAACTCCATCTCTCCACCAACCAAAAGGCTACCCCATCTCTCCACCAACCAAAAGGCTATCCCATCTTTCCACCAACCAAAAGGCTATCCCATCTCTCCACCAACCAAAAGGCTATCCCATCTTTCCACCAACCAAAAGGCTATCCCATCTCTCCACCAACCAAAAGGCTATCCCATCTTTCCACCAAGCAAAAGGCTACCCCATCTCTCCACCAACCAAAAGGCTATCCCATCTTTCCACCAAGCAAAAGGCTACCCCATCTCTCACCAACCAAAAGGCTATCCCATCTTTCCACCAACCAAAAGCCTATCCCATCGCTCAACCAACCAAGAGGCTGCCCCATCTTTCCACCAGCCAAGAGGCTACCCTATCGTTTCACCAGCCAAGAGGCTACCCTATCGTTTCACCAGCCAAGAGGCTACCCTATCGTTTCACCAGCCAAGAGGCTACCCTATCGTTTCACCAACAAATCGTACTGCCAACCAGCAGGCATCCCCATTGCCCTACTAATCAATAGGATACCCCTATCCAGCCTCCTTCAGCAAGTAGGCTACCATCATCGTTCCACCAATTATAACCCTACCCTATCAATGTTGTTTTTGGGAAAGCAGCTGCGTTAGCCATGTTTATGTAATCTGCGACTATACATGATTGTCGGATTACACCTGCCCCAGTTTCCAAAACAACCAACGGAACCCGAATTTCACATACTCCAACCATCTTACATCTTCAGGCCATTTCGATTTCATGGACATACATACATGCCCCTGTAAAGCAGCGGTTCCGAACATGACATTCTGTCTGGCATTTGACACCTGGCACACAACGACCATGCATGGACGCATTGTGTCCCGAGACATGGCCAAACACGGCTACTTTAACGCCGACTGAAGATTTATCTGCCTTATTTGTGTTTGTTTGTCAGATTTGTTGTATATAAACGTCACAATCGGCAATATTCTAGCTGTATGACGGCGGCCTGTAAATAATCGAGTCTGGGCCAAGACTATCCAGTGCTTAAACGCATAAACATCGATCTACGCAATTAGGATACGATGGCAAGCATCAACCAGATCAGCGAGCCCGACCACAGGACCCGTTAGCCGCTTCTTACGATAAGCATCGGTTGCTAAAGACAAATTCTAACCCGGGCCTTTACGGGATTCGTTTGTTTGGCATTTCCAAGGCATTCGGTAGTGTGACTTATCAAATTTAATTCAAGTAAAAGCTCTTGCGTGCAATATGTAAGGGAATTACACGTGAGACAAAAAGTATACTCAAAATAGATTTACGTGTTTATAATTGCTCATTATGTGATGTGATACACATTTTGAAATGACACAACCTTGAATGTCATTCGGCCCGCTGATTATGAACTTTCGCTCAACTTGATTAACACATGGGTCGTTAAAGACGGATCAGTCTTCAAGTAGCGACTACTTTTGGTTGGTCTGTTATGGACAAAGACGGATAATTTAAGTGATAAAGTTTGTTTGCTTGTCGTTTTATGCCGCACTCAGACAAAAATTCAGCTATATGACGGCGGCTTGTAAAATAATCGAATCTGGACCAGACAATCAAGGTTTGATATTTTGAGTAATTGTCGTCGGTTGCGATGGCACGCACTCAACAAGTTACAAAGCCTGACAACCCGATCAATTACAACACCAGCATGGGTGGCTTGGGACCAATTCTAACCCGGTCTCCCCGCCGGTATGTTATAAAGTAACGTCTGTCCGAGAAAGTGACAGATGGAACTGCCCAAAAGAAAGTTGTAAATATAAACACGAAGCCCATATGATACATACAAGGTTTACTGGTGAAAAGGACGGAGACCATAGCTCTGTTACTGAAATGTGTTTGAGGTTAAGTTCAACAAAACAATTCATATGAACACATCTTGTGACATGGTGATATGTGGTAAGTCCACTATATTGGCCCACATCCCGTGGGCACCCAGGTTCGAGAAAGTCTAAAGGACTCCCATGCTGGTCGTTAGCGTCGACTAAATTGGATCGGATGGTTTGGCTCTGTAATTTGATTGCATGTTACCGTGGGCAATGGCGCGGTTGGATGTTCATGCTTTCTGTCGTCCATTTGACTGATCCAGGCTCAATTATTTACAGGGTGCCGTGATACAGATAGCGTATTGCTCACTGCGGCGTTAATCAGCATTCACTCACAAGCGTTGCAATATTCGAGGTAACAGTTTTAATTGCAAAACATTTGACTATGATAGCTTTTCTATGGCTTGATTTCATCGATACATAACAAAGTCCATATGATTGATTGCACACTCTTGATGAGTGTTTTTGATATATTTTCAAGGTATCAGTTTTATATTGCAACGCGCACATTCTTACTTGTGTAACACATCGATAAAACTAAAACATAAACATCTGAAGCATACTGGCACCAGGTACCTTATCAGCAACAAGTCATCACCTGGTTGCTATGGTAATGTTTCGCAATGAGAACTGTTATTGATTGACGGGTAACATTAGACTTTTGTCCCAAATAATTCATACACAAAAAGATAATTTTGTGAAGGACACAATTTTATATCTGTATTATGATATGAGCACTCTGAGTTTGGAGTCAAATAATACGCATACTCGGTTAAATTATGCATATTTATCATGCAGCAGACTACATAAATGTGTGATATCAATTTAAACTTGAAGATTATCGTTCGTTTCTTGCATATCAAATATGTATGTATTATTAATGTCCAGTTCATCCTTGTTTTAAAGGTATTAATTTTTTCAGGGATAACAGTGAGTGAGTGAATTTTCTCTGTGCATGAGTGAGTGAGTGAGTGAGTTGTGTTTAACGCCGCTTTGACCAGTATTCAAGTTATAACACGGCGTGTCAGCTTAATGTTGGAAAAAATCCCTAGTCTTAGACGTTTACCTCTGTGGTGCTGACA